ATGCAGATTACAGCATGTAAAGTTTAGAATTAAGACAGTGAATTGTATGAATGTAAGAGGAATAATGTATATCTTGAAAATTCTACCTTCACAAAAGTGGCTTGTAGACCAGAGAACCGTAAGTCCATAAGACATGACCTAAACCAACCAATCGATCAATTTCTTTTCTACAAAAACAGAGTTGTTCTTTACTTTTTGTTGGATTGTGTTAAAACAAATGTTCTTCCCTACTCTATGTTCAAAATACCTCCAATCCCAGATAAAAAGCAAATAAAAAAAAACTTGGAAGGAAATGGATCAGCTTCCTTTTTTATTTAAGTGTTTTTGTTTTTTTGTTTGTTTTGTTTTGTTTTAGCAAAAGGAGTATTCACAACACTGGCAACTCTCTGAGGTGAGGGATGTGTGAGGTTAGGTGTTGCTGTGCCACCACCCAGCAGATTGCCTACTTACTTCTTAGCAAATATTTCAGGGTTATTTACTAAAGAAATTAATCCATATCTTCTCCATATTGAGCACATGATAAGCTTTAATTATGAATGTGTATGGGACATGAGAGGAGACAGTTCTTCCTAGATTTCTTTCCCTCTCTCCTTAGTAAACTGTGCATGTTCAGACAGGAAAAGTCCTTGCATTCAAAGTACGTATTATATTACAATAAGAAAAGCAAGTTAAAATGAAAAGCCAAACAGCAGAGATTTGCGAGATTCTGACTCGTAGAGGTTACACATGTTTCAGAATAGAACTGGACTTCCTAAAATTTTCTTAACTTTAATTGCCACCAAAGTAGATCACCTGGCTTTTCTTACATCTCATCACTGGGACCATTTGAATTGTCAATATTTGGATTGTTGTTGTTGTGTGTACCGTAGTTGGAACCAACCCATAGCTGACCCTCCAACAGTTTTCAGAGGCAGTTAATTGCAAGGGAGGAGATTGCCTGTCCTTCTTTCCCAAGGAGTGACTAGGGCCTCAAACCATGTACCTAAGGGACTGTAGTACAGCTTCTTGCCACCACTCAGTGAAGCTTGAAGGGAGCTCTGGAGGCTGAGTGGTAAGAAGTTGTTCTACCAACCAAAGACATGTGGTTTGAATCTAGCAGATGTTCCATAAGAAAAAGATGGGCAATCTTTTCTCATGCAATTTACAGCCTCTAGAAACCTTCTGGGAAGGTCATCTACAACTCATTTCCTACTCAGCATTATGTAAAAACAATGAAGTTTGACGTCTCTCTAATTCTTGGGCAGGTTGCCTGAATATTAGGTATGCATGACCAGTATCTTTGCAAGGGTCTGTTATATATCTTAAAGAGATTCAAATCTGTTAAAAAGATTGTTGTTGTTATGAAATACCATCGAGTCATAGACGACTCATAGCTACCCTATGAACAAAAGACCTGAAAACTTACTTATATAACTTTCATCATTTCTCCACGTTCATAAGCGTTTCCGGAGGCAAGCTATTTCAAAAGTGGATGTCACTCCTGCTTCCAACCTTGTTTTAATCAGGGAGCTCCACCAAAACTGTCCACCATGGGTATACACTATCATATTTGGCACATCAGTGACACAGTGTTTAGCATCACACCAACTACGAGTTACCTCTATACAGCAAATGGACAGAACATCGCTATACCACTTAGAAGAATTACCAAAAACAATTAAAACCAGCCCGAGGGTTGCAGATTAAAATCACCTTTGGCTTGGTAGTATCACTTTGTATCCACTAGGCCAACAAAGCTCTCTCGTTGTTATTGTTGTTAAGTGCCACTGAGTCATAGACAACTCATAGAGACCATATGATTGGAAGACCTGAACACTTCCTATAGCTATGGTAGGTAAATAAATTGAGTAAAAGCAAATTGTTAACAAAAGAAAGATATAGCAATGTGTCCTACAATAATAGACAATATACAGTCAACACTCTCAGCACCAGTAGCCAGGAAATTAAAAGACATATTGTGATGGGAAAGCCTGCTGTTAGGGACCTCTCCAAAGTACTGAAGAGCAATGGTGTCTCTCTAGAGACCAAGGTGTGTTTGATACAGGCCATGGTCTTTGCTATCACTTGTTATGCATCAGAGAGTTGGACAGTGACTAAGGAGGATAGAAGGAGAAGTGAAGCCTTTGAGCTGTGGTGCTGGGGAAGAGTATTGAGGATACCATGGACTGCTAGGAAAACAAACAGATTCGTCCTTCAAAGGGTTAAACCGGGCTGCTCCTTGGAGGCAAGGATTCTGAGGCTTCTTCTGACATACTTTAGACAACATGTTGTAAGGAGGGACCAGTCCTTGGAAAGAGACATCGTGCTTGGGAGGGTGGAGGGACAGCGCAGGAGGGGAAGACCCTCTATGAGGTGGATTGATTCAGTGACTGGGGTAATTGGGATGTGTGTGTTAGAGACAGTGCAATTGGCACAGAACAGAGCAGAGTTTAGGGCTGTTGTACATAGGGTCGCTATGAGTCACAAGTGACTCGACGGCACATAACAACAACATACTTCCTTCAACGTTTGCTGTATAATTGTTATATATACACATATGTTATATGTGTATCATTGGAATAAGGATGACAAAGGAAGAACTGATGCCTTTAAATTGTGGTGATGGTATGGAATGGCCCATGGATGGCCAAAGAACAAACATACTTGTGTTGGAGGAGGTGCAACCCCAGTGGTACTTCATCTCATATACTATGAGCATGTTGTCAGATAGACTGGTCCTTGGAAAATGGCATCATGATGGCAAAGGTGGACTTTCAACAAAACAGGTTGGCATAGTAATTATAACAATGCACTTGAGCATATCAGAGATCATATGGATGATGCAAGATAGAGCAAGTTTCAGATCTGTTGTTTATAAGGCTGCTGTAGTGAACAAAAGAAGCAACACTATTACGATGACAGGTCAAGAACGGAAAGAATTAGGATAGTTTTGGGGACTGGATTTTTTAAAAAGAAATAAATTGGACCAGTTAGACAAACCTGCACAAGCAGAGAAAGCTGCTGTAATAGCTAGGCTTAGCAAGGATCTCTGTACAAAAATATATCTGAAAATCCTAGGTCCTATGAGACTGAACTCAATTTAAGTTAAAATTTAGTAGGTCTTAAAAACTCCAAAGTAGTTCAAGCCAAGATTTACTTCAGACCTAATCATAAATTTATTCATTGTTAGTGTTTAGTCCTTCAGAATAATTCAGAACATTTTGAACAATATTTCATGCACTAAGATGATTTTAAAATGCTACTCTTATTTCAGTTTAGTCAATAATTTCAAACAAGATTAGCTAGAAACGGCGACAGAGGGCTCCAGAGATGTCACACTGCAGTAAAAAAATGCCAGAATCTACAAGATTATACTAAGAAAAGTTTTTATGGCTTGTATAAATAGTACATTTATAATTTCTAAGTAATAGACATAAACTGATAAAATACTTTCTCTGTGTGGGGCGAAAGGTTAAGGACATGGCTATGAATTAAGTTCTTTGAAAGAGTGACCTACTTTATGTGTTTTAAGTACATTTGTGGCAATATATGTATATCAAGATAGAAAGAAGACAATCTCCTCCTGTGATTTACAATCTACAAACACCTACGGGAGGCTCAGCTGTGAGTTGGTCCTGACTTGATGGCAATAAGTTGAAAATATATCTCAAATCTTATTGATCTCAAGTTTAAGTCAATTAATAACTGATACTCCATGGGGTTTCTGATACTATAAATTACATGAGAGGAGACTTCCTATCTTTTTCCTAGGGAGTCACTAGTGAAATTGACTTGCTAGTGAATTGGGCTCTGCCTTTAGATTATATTAGTAATGTAATTCTATACAGAATAGTCTGTCAGTGCTTACATAGCAACCCTATGAACAAAGGACCTGAAAGCTTTCTTTAAGTATCATCATTTCTCTAAGTTAATAGAATTTCCAGAGGCATGTTGTTTAGGAAGTGGATGCTCTCCTGCTTCCAAGCCTGTCTCAATTCTGGGAGCTCCACCAAACACTGTCCACTATGGGTAACCATTATGGCATTTGACACACATAACATCGATTTTTAATATCTATTCATGCCTGCTAATGTTCACTTTTACAATCATTTTCCACAGAATTCATTAAACAAGTACTTCATGCATAAGCACATCTACATGATTTCTGGACATATTAATAAAGCACACTAGATTAAAGTGAAATTATTTTTCTACATTAAGAAACCTAGTTATTTCAGAAAACGCATATGGTTTAATAACCCAACAGGTATGTAATTTTCTAGGTATTAAACCAAATGTTCTGTTTCTAAAAGCAACAGGAAGGAAACTTCTGGAAATGGAAACTTCCAAGTTGCTTTCAGAAATCAAGCTTGTTCTCTTGAAATTCAATGTCTATGAACACCTTGCTAGACTGATGAGGTTGAGTTCAACCCTTCTCAAGGCATCATACCTATCACTGGCTCATCCAAATGAATGATTAGCACACTTGACTGCTAAACAAAAAATTATAGTCAAGTCCACCCAGTGGTGCCTTGGAAGAAAAGCCTGGTTATCTACTGTAGAAAAATTACCCACTGAAATCCCTGTAGAGTGCAGTTCTAGTCTGACACAGATGAGGGTGACACGTGTTGGAGTAAGTTCTGCAGTAACTGGATGTCACTGCAGAGCTTTTAGTCCTGTCCCCATCATTAACCAACATGTGCTAGTGTAATTTCTCACCCACAATATCAGAACAAGGAGTCATCATCTGTTGAGTCCTAGGCTGCATCTAGGACATACTATCACTTTTTTTTTAAAATGCTTTAATTTTATTGAACATTTTCTGCAAAACACTTTTAAACAATATTCTGTTCATCTCCCTAAAGCCTAGAAGTAGTGAAAATATTCAACTAGAAAAATTGGGTATGAAGCGGCATAGGTGGGAGGGTGCCTCAGTCAGCCTCTTGGCGGGTTCTCTCATCTTCCGGAAGGCACAGCTGGGTTCTGGAAGGTTCTGGAAGGCTCTCGGGGCTGCGTCTGGCTCACTGGCTGGGGTTCTGGTGCAGGTTGCGCAGCACCCAGGCGGATGGCATCAGGAGGGTCGTGAAGATCACCACCAGGCCCACGGCGATCTCCACACCCGACGCGGGCTGGTGGCGGGAGTCCGAGTGGGCGAGGCGGCGACGGGCGCGCAGGCCGAGCAGGACCACGCGGCGGCCGTGCAGCGGGTAGAACACGGTCACTCGGGGCATGGCGAGGCAACGCGGACGCCGGCACGTGGACAGCAGCGAGGCCAGCAGCGCGCTGCACGGGGCGGGAAGGCGGTCTGCCGACATACTATCACTTAAGACTGTTGACAGAATAAATTATTCATTTCCACTAAAATTTGAGCTTCATGGGGTACAACGTTTTGTTTTCCCAGAAGAACACTGTCTACCATGTAGGGATATAGTCATATGACTCTTGATGAATGAAATAGGCAATTAAAAGTGCAATTAGTTTTTTTGGTTGTTGTCATGTGTTGCCAAGTAGGAACCAACCCATGGAACTGACCCATAGCTGACCCTTCAGCAGGTTTTCAGAGGCCAATTAATCACATGGGAGGATATATTAGTCTTTTAGTAGGACATTCCATTACAATACTTATCACATTAATGCCAAGATGCCAAGATAGATGGTTGGAATATCCAGGACCTACATTTTAATCCCTGCTTAATGATTTGGGAAAGTTGCTTACCCTTTCTGAGCATATTTTTTCCATCTATAAAATGACTTTACACATTTTACCTGCTGGTTTAACACAATTGTTCACTCCCATAAGTATATGGCAGTTTTATTCAAATATATGTCAAAGTGAATTTTATCAGTTGTATTATACATGCCTGAATGAATAATATCTTTTTTTTTCATTTTCTACTGGGTTTATTTACAAAATTCAATATATTGTTTTCAAGAATAAATTCTTAGGCGAGCTCTGGTGGCCTAGAGGCAACAAGTTGTACTGCAATCTCAGAGGTACATAGTTCAAATCCAGCAGATACTCTGCTGGAGAAGGAGGGGCAATCTCCTCCTGTATCAGTCAGATCCAATTTGATGGAACACGCAAACACAAACTAGTAAAATAAAACCCTCTCGGATCCTTATACTCATTCTAAAATAATGGTTTTATACAATATTTATCCTTGTGGGACAAAGTTAGTTAACTCACTTGGGAGAGACTAGAAAGCATTATACTGAATAACATATCTTATGTATGTTTTTCTGAACAATCACAGTCCAATAAAAATTAGCATGCTCATGCCTTTCAGCTGAAGAACATTAACAAAAATAAAGCAACTCTATTTGCACCGAATCTATTGTGACGTTATGATCTCCAATCTTGTTTCTAAGACTGTAAATCATAATAAGAACAAATTGCTTGATTATTCTCTATTGAAACAGCTGTTGGATTTGAACTGCTGACCTTTTCAGTTATGTTATATAGGCTGTGCTACATAGACTTCTTGAAGATTATAATGGGCAGAGATAAAATAACTCATCCATGATCTCTCAGTTAGTTAGGATTCTAATCAGAAATTGCAATGTATACTACAGGGTTCCCCCCCCAATAATCTCTGAATAAATATGAAAACCAAATAATGAAAATAAAGTAAGACAGAAGAATTGACAACCATGCAGTTCAAGTCCACCAGGTGCTCCTAAGGAGAAGGATGGCCAATCTCCTCCCATGCTATTAACAGCCTCTGAAAACCTGCCAGAGGATAAACTCTGGGTTGATTCCAACTTAATGGTACACTACTACAACAGCAACAACTGTGGTGGTGGTCAAAAATATGAACTCTACCATGAATTGTGAAAAGAACAAACAAATGAGTCTTTAAGCAAATGCAAGCAGAGCGAGTGATTCTGAGAAGTGAGCTTGATAAGATTCTAATGTGCCAACATTAGATACGTCATCAGGAAAGATCAAGACCTAGAAAAGAATTTCATGTTTGGTAAAGTAGAGGTGGAGAAAATGAGTGAAATGAAATGATTTGAGAACCACAATGATAGGCTCAAACGTAGCACAGATAAAGAGGACACTGGATGAGGCAACATTCAAAGCTGACTTATATGGCCATTACACAAGAGCAAAACATTAGTTTACTCCAAGTCTGGCCCTAAGCTTACTTCCTTGTTTCCTTAGGTTAGACTAAAATTACTTCTACAACTTTGACAAATATTTGTTTTGCTGTAAGCATTTATTCACATTTTCTAATAATTAAGATAAATTATATTTTAAAATAATGAAGTGAAGAAGTGTGAAACCACAGTAACTAATTTCGTGCACTGTGAGACTGACCTATACAGGAAAATACATGTTTCAAGAAACAATCACTCGTAATTTATTCATTCCCCCTCCCCGATTCCCTTTGGCTACATAATTGAATTCTCTATCATGTTTTTCAAGATTTTAAGATAATACTTCAATGTCAGGTTCATTCCATGTCAATTTCATTTCCAGGCATGCTTTACTGTCAAGATCAATAGCTCTTTGTAATTTAAACTCTGAGTTTACTCTGCCTCTTGGTACTGGCTGGCACCGGTCTGAAAAAGCTCAACTCTGATAGACACACTTCCCACTTTCTAAGTCATTAATAACACTTTACATATAACTTCATACTTGCCACAAATCACTGAGTCAAAGACATAAAAAAAGATGAAAAATTATAAGGTCATGGCGTTTGTGTGCGTGTGTACCTGCGTTTCTTTGCAGGCTAAATGCTATAGTACTATAAGATTGTTTTAAATCCATTCTTCATTCACTGTGAGCAAAATGTGTTTTGTGTTTAAGCTTGCTTTTCTGAGCTCTGATGTTTTAGCGTAATTCATATCTGGATAACTTCAGAGTAGATATATACTCTTTCGGGGTTTTTTGTGGCAGCTATACAATCTTCCAAAAGAGGATCTCCAGACTATCCTTATACACTGCAATTAGGTGGATTTGAACTGGCAACCTTGGGGTTTTAATCATTTGTTTCAGATAGGAAACCAGGAAATGTATTTTCACAAAAAAGCTAAAGCAGTCAAAGATTTGCCTTTTGCCTCAGGTGTAAGAACCCACAGACTGAGGGCTGTGATTAATGCAAAAGCGCTTATCAATAATTTACCCATCATACATGACAGGGCCTTAGTGAGGCTGTTTTGTGTCAATATTCCTAGAGGTCATCCCGTTCCCCCAGCTCTGTGATAATTATTAAGACCTAGCAGCCCCATTACCAACAGTGAGCCAAGGAGCTAATCTTCACATTTAATTGAAAGTTCATTTGTTTATTCATCTATTAAGCATCTAATGTAATAGGAATAAGATAATAAATACAGAATATTGCATGATTTACCCAAATCGTATACGATAGTAGCAAAATTCAAAATAACAAAGATAGGCTTAGTATATATTTGGTGCCAAGCAGCAATTCCATGTGTGGGTAACAATTGTGTTCAGCTGCTAACTGAAAGGTTGGTAGCTCAGATTCCTCTGGTAGTTCCACAGAAGACCCAGCAGTCAACTTCCATTAAGATGACAACCAAGAGTACCCTGTGCAGCTGACTGCTACTCTATGGCACAGGGTGTTTTCAGGAATCCAAATTGACTTGAGCACAACACGTTTGGCTTGTACTGGCTGGTTGTATGTAATCACTTCAAATTCATTACCACTGGGTTGATTTCAACTCATAATGACCCTCCAGCAGGTTTCTGAGGCTATAAACCACACAGGAGAAGACTGCCTGTCTTTCTTCCAAGAAACTAGTTGATTTTGTGCCTCCATGCACAGGCAGCATTTGTGTCGTCAATGCAACCTACTACAGGCACTACTAGAGATCCTAAATAATTGTTGTTGTTGTTAAGTCCCGTTGAGTCATAGGCGACTCATAGTGACCCTATGGGTCATAGATGACTTGATAGCACGTTAGGACAACAGTAACATGCAATAACTATAATATATCCGTTTCTTTTGTGTGTGTTACTCTGATGCTTGAAGATATGTATCATTTCTTTCAGATAAGGACAAGGTCACTCATTGGACAAGTTTCCAAGGAGCTTTCAAACTAGAACAGACTAGAAGGAAAGGTCTAGTGATCTACTTTTGAAAATTACCCAGTGAAAATCATGAGTTGCAGCATGGCATACTTGGCTCATGTACTGTGAGCATATTATTAGATGAATCAAACTTGTGAAAAGGACAGCTTGTGAGGTTAAGACCCTGTGAGGAATGCGGAGGACTGGTACGGTAGTTGCAATGATGAACTGTACCATACTGGTAGTCATGGGGATGATGCTGTGCCAGAGAATATTTCATTCTATTACACAGAAGCCTGTCATGACTTGAGGGTCAACTCTGCAGCAGTTGCCCATCTATATCTACTATAATCCTATTTGAGACACAAAGGACATGGCAATGAACAAATAGGCAAAATTTTGTCTTCATATCCTCGACAAAAGTATACATCTAGAAATATCAAGTAGTAGACATAATATGAATATATATACAGCATAATCTATTGCAATCACACTCAGGAACACACATGAAGCAGAGAATGAAGACAGCCAGTAGAGCGGTGAGAGACTGACTTTTTACATAGGCTACCCAGGAAAGATCTCACTGAGAAGTGGAACTCTTAATTACATTTCAAATGTCAAAACCATATCAGAGGTATAAAGGGAATATTTTAATATAATTAGTCTCCCTGATATAACAACTTCCCTTTAGAGCGCATTTCCTTCCAGCCTTGTCAATATGCATGCAGGTGTTTTATATTAGAGTCAGAAGCATTTTCCTCCCGATGAGAGCTATGACAGCCGATGACTTTTGAGAAAATATTTGAAAAGAGTAAAGAAGCCAATCAGACAAATAATGGGGAAGAGTACTCTAGGACGAAAGAACATGTCTCGGGTATTTCAGGAACATCAAAGACTCAGTGTACCTTGAACAGAAGGAACCAGAAGACAAGGTGAGAACGCTATGCAGAGAGTGGTGAGAAGCCAGTGCAGGGATTTCACTTTTCAGGACAGATACTGCCCTTAAACTTTTAAAGTGGAGAGAAGCTGAGGCTAAGAAAATGTCAACTGATTTCCTCAAGCTAATTTTAGCTAATGGTGAAACTGAGATTTTGTGCTCTTGCCTGCTTGATTCTAAAATGTATTCTATTATTGCTCACTTTGTGTTACGTGTATTAAGGGAAGATGAACGTAAAAATAACATGAGTGCATAAGTGCAAACGCTATTGTTATTGCTGGTTGCCATTGAATTGACTGACTCATGGTGATCTTACATATAATAGAAGGAAAGCTGGCATG